GTCCGGGAGAGGCCGGTCAGCGAGCAGCTGGTCCTGAGGCTCCACCCGGGACTCCTCCCGAGCCCCGCCTCCTAAACTCTCAAACTCCACCCAGAGCGTGGATCCCAGGAGTTCTGCCCTCGGTAGAGCCCCTTCTCCCCCGAGATTAAAGAGACGCCCCCGACTCCCCGGATCCTGACAGGCGTCCCTAATCCAATGGAGCTCCCCAGATGCAAGGGGGCTCCACCCCTGGTTACGCCCCAGAACCGTATAAATCTCCACCCATTACTGCCACACCCCCCACGCCAATTCGGGTCCTGCCCCGAAGGTCTAAGCCAAGGCCCCGCCCCTCACCCAGCTTGTCCAGCGCAAACTGCACCACGAGCTCGGGCACCTCGCGGGAGGCCATGTCCGCAGCGATGAAGAAGACCTTGGGAGCGCCCAGCTTCCGGCAGTTCCCTACCACCTGGGGGGCCAGAGCTGCCCGTGGGCCCCTCCACCCCGCAGGTTCCCTCCGCCTGCCAGACGCAAGGGGCCCCAGCCTGCAGCCCCCTCCCGTACTCTGAGCCTCCCTTTCAGTTCCCAGAGCTTTACCACGGGGGTCGTCAACTGGCATCTGTTTCATTTGATTAATCATCACGATTTAAAACTCAGGAGCTATCAAATTAATCTCAAGGTTTCCGGCCCCCCTTGAAATTCTGGAAGGTTTGTGTCCACGAGCTGTGCATGTCCTAGGAACGCTGGGTTGCTAAGAAAAGTGCACCCACCCCCCTTTTCAGTTTGGGAGCCCTGCCTATCATCACGGCCTTTGGACACACCAATACTGCCATTTATTGGGGAACACTCCTGGCTTTACACTCACTGTCTTACTGCATCCACCCGATACCATAGCCCACAAGAAGGGACTTTGTTTTCCCTTTTGCAAATGAGGACATTAAGGCTCACAGAGGTTAAGCAACTTGCCCAAGGTCACCTGGGAAGCCAGGGATCTTTGCAGGGATTCAAACCCAGGCCTCATTTTCCACCGCACTCGCACCCTCACCGTTACACTGGAAATGGAGTGTCTCACCTTCTGCAGGAAAGCCTCAGTGTGGGCAGTGAGCACCAGGTGGGAGCCCAAGCGGGCATAGTGATAGGCCAGTTCCTCCCCAACGCCAGCACTGGCCCCTGTCAGCAGCACGCGGGCTCCCTGGAGGCTAGCTGGCAGTGAGCAGAGGTGGTCAGCCTAGGGCAGTGGCTCTCAACCTTCCTAATGCCGTGACCCTTTAATACAGTTCCTCATGTGGTGGTGACCCCCAATTTCATTGTTACAAATTGAACATAATTAAAGCATAGTGACGAATCACAAAAACAATATGTAATTATATATGTGTTTTCCGATGGTCTTAGGCAACCCCTGTGAAAGGGTCGTTCGGCCCCCAAAGGGGTCATGACCCACAGGTTGAGAACCGCTGGCCTAGAGGGTGCACAGAGCAGCTGGCCGGATTCCTCCCTGTCCCACCCCAGGCACTCACCTGGGTCAAAGTTGTCAGCCCAATAATAGGTGAAGAATAGGGCTCCCAGCCCAGTGAGGAGTAGTACCTTCATGGCCCTCCCTGGGTCTGCAGTGAGAGAGAAGGGTGGCCAGCATGGTCCTGGGCCACAGCCACACCTGTTTCCCCAGCTGCTCCTTTGTTTGAAGAAGAGCATCTTGGCCCCTAGACTTGCGCCTCTTCTCCATCACAACCGCCACCACTTGGTCCGGGTCACCATACAGGTTACCTGAGCCACTCTACCAGTCTTTGGGGCTTCCTCCTTCCAGGCAACAGCAGACTCTCATCTTGCCTCCCCTGCTGAAAATTCTCCCAGGTTCATTTAGGACAGAAGTCACACTCCTCGATGACCAAAAAGGCCCTTCACGCACCAGCCCCTCTTGCTCACTCTGCTTTTTGTCACACCAGCCTCTTTGCTGTTCCTGAGAATCAGCCAGTCACCATCTGCCTCAGGGCCTTTGCACTGCCTGTCCCCTCTGCCCTGAATGCTCTTGGCAGATAATCCAGTGGCTTGCTTTTACTCCTTTCAAGTCTCAGCACAAAAATTACTTCTTCCCAGGGCACTTCCTGGGCCTCTTTTTCTGAAGCACTTCCCTAACCCGCCCTTACCTCTAGAACTTCTATCTCCTTCTCAGAACTTAGCATCACCTGAAATCACCTTGATGATTTGTTTCCTGTTCACTGTCATTCAATTCTCCTACCAGTGGTTCTCAGCCTCGGCTGCACATTAGAATCACTTGGGAATCTTTTTAAAATCCTGATTTCTGGGCCTCGTCCTCCGGAAATTCTGTTTCTTTGTTATGGGGTGAGGCCACAACATTAGTAACAAAGAAACAGAATTTCTGGAGGATGAGGTCCAGAAATCAGGATTTTAAAAAGATTCCCAGGTGATTCTAATGTGCAGCCAAGGCTGAGAACCACTGTCCTAGACTGTCAACCCCACAAGGGCAGGAAGGAAACAGAAACCTACTTTTGGTTTGTTTTTTTTTCACTGTTAGGTCTTCAGTGCCCCAAACTGTGTTAAGGACACAGCAGGTGCTCAAAAGATACTAGATTAACACAGGAATGTGGGAGGCAAGAGCTGGGGGAGCCCCGAAAGACCACCTTGGAGATACCTAGGAGGAGTGGGAAGGTCCCCATGTCATGAGAGTTAAGGTATGAGAGTTCAGCTTTGGGAGCGATTTACTTGGCCCAGGGAAAAGGCAAAAGAAACAGGCTGGCTCCTTAAAGTTTAGGGAGTCATAGGTTTCCTTTGAAAGGGGCACAGGCTCATCACATCTTGGGGTTTCTATCCTCTGTACTCAGTGGGACAAAGAAGAGAGGGCACTTCTAGGACCCAGGATGCTGAGAGCTGGTGCGATTGGGGAGCTCCCGTATCCCCAATCTCTAGATCCAGCCCTATGTCCTTTGCCCCACAACAAAGCTCCAGCGACCTCCCCTCCTCCTCTATCTTTACACTCCGCTCCTCCCACCCTGCTTCAGCCAAGCAGCCAAAGGGATGTGTCAAAAGAAGTCTGGTGTGCCCCTTCCTGCTCTAAACCCTCCAAGGGCTCGCCACTGCTCCAGATGGAGAGCAAGCTCCTCACTCTCCCATAAGGCCCAGGGGGTCTGGCCTCTGCCCACCTGTCCATTCCCATCTTCTCCAACGCCTGTCTATGAGTCGTTCTCAGAAAAGTGAACTTGTCGCCCTTCCCAGTCACACCAGCAATTCTCTCAGCAGGGAACGCGCTCCCACCTCCTTCTCTTCCAGGGAAAGCCCGCGAAGCCCCTCAGCTCAACCCTCTTCTCACCCATGTAGGTAGGGATGGATGGATGGATGGATGGATGGATGGATGGACGGACGGACGGACGAAGCAGCTGGGCTTAGATGGAAGTGGAATAGGGGAACCGCATCCTCGCAGAATCCACTGGCCCTCTGACCTCGCCGGGCCTCAGTTTCCCCGCAGTACAAAAAGGGCGTGCGACCTGCCCCGAGCTCCCAACCGCTCACTCACCCTCTCCGGCCTGTTTCTTCCGCTGGGAACCGGGGCTGGCGGTCGCTGCCTGGGAGCCCAGCGCAGGCCAGTAGGGTCTACCCTTCCGGCGGGCGGCCCCCGACCACGCCCCTCCCGTAGAGCCCGAGTCACGTGACTAAGCCTGCCTCTTTGCAAGGAGGCACCAGGCCGAGAGGACTCTGCGACGCCCCGCGTTGCCAGGCAACGGCCTACCTGCGGGCTCTTTTGATCCCAGCCTCAGTCTCCAGAAGGAAAACATTCCCCACCATTCGAAACCGCTCACGTGACCTAGACCCACCTCTCTCGAACAATTCCGCCCTCGTGTTTCCGTGACAACTGGCTTCTAGGGACACTCTTCTTAGGCCCTTGCCCTGAGTCACCCGCGCGGGCGCGGGTGGATCTCCCGGGCTCCGACATCTTCTAGGGTTACCCTCAGGCCTCACTCCAGACACCCTACTCTTTTCATTCACGCCACCGAAACCGGACTACATTTCCCAGGAGCCTTGGCGGCTAGGCGAGCCCTCCGGCGCCTCACGAGGCAGTGCTGAACACATTTCCCAGACAGCTTTGCGGCGGCCAAGCCCATAAGATTACCTCTCCGCACACTTTTGCAGTGGGACCCAAACCTCTAGCATTTCTGAGCGGTAACAAGACTCCGACTCCCGGAGGCCTTTGCGGCTGACAAGGGAAACTACACTTCCCAGAGGCCTCTGCCGCTTCGCTACCGGAAGCGGCGGGCGAGCGGACTGTCCTTGCGTGCGGAGTCGAGCGGCTATGGTGTCCCGAGTGTGGTCGATGGTGAGGTGCGTGTGGCGGGCGGGCCCCTAGCTCCCGAGAAAGTCCTCCCTGCGGACACCCTATTCTGGTTTGCTCCCCACCTGCTCTTCGTTTCCCGTAGTGTCAGGTGCCCCATGGGGAAACTGAGTTTCAAGCGGAGAGGTGATTCCCGAGGTCGCGCGAGCCTTACTTTCGTATTTCTCGGAATGAGATCTCTCCGAGTCTCCGTTGCCTTCTCTGTAAAGTGGGAGTGCCGCACGCCATTTATTGGGAGGTGAATGCGCGCCCAGAGCGGCGCTGGACATGCAGGAAGCGACCAGATACACTTGGAAAACCCTGCGGGTTACTCGCCGAGGGTCCCTCCTCGGGACAGAAGGCAGACAGTCAAGGGACTGACGTGTCTTCACTGTTCGCTGCTCTGGGCGGAATCATTAGTGATCCACTGTCCCTTTGCGGGCCTCAGGTTATAAGTTGAATGGGCGGAGTACTCCTGCTTTGCACACTGTAAATGGAGAACTGCCCCTAGCAGGGGTCAGGCATGCCTCTGAGTAGCAAGGTGCCCAGTCATTTCCCTATTAGCTGCCTGGCTTCCAGTATGTCACATTTCGGATTGTGGGGCTCCCTAGGGGGACTAACTCCTACTCCCATAGACCTAGGGCCGCCCCCTCTTCGACTCCCACACATCTCGTGGGTGGCCTGCAGTGTTCCCTAAGCTGCTGTCTTCCCTTCCCTGCATTCAGGTTTCTCATCAAGGGGAGTGTGGCCGGGGGAGTGGTCTACCTGGTGTACGACCAGGAGCTGCTGGGGCCCAGCCACAAGAGCCAGGCAGCCCTTCAGAGGGCCGAGGAGGTTGTCCCCCCTGCCATGTACCAGTTCGGCCAGTACGTGTGTGAGCAGACGGGCCTGAAGATACCCCAGGTACCCCATGCCGGGAGTGAGGCTGAAGCTTGATGGGAATCACCTTTGGGGTGGCCTTCAGTCCCTGGTCCCTGCAACCTTGCTTGGTTCCTGCTCACTGGGGCATGCGCTGCTTTCCCTGCCTCAGGAGGGAGTTGGGGCTGCCAGGCCCTTCCTCTTTCATCAGCCCCTTCTTCCTTGTCTCTTCCCAGCTCCCAGCCCCTCCAAAGTTTAACTTTAACATCCGTGAGTCCTGGAATTCAGGTAGGCCCTGGTCCCTCTGCTTGGGGGTGTGACCCCAGGTACCCTAGTCTAGCACCCCTGACCCTGCTTCCTGGTCATGCCTTTCCATCACTCCCCTTACTGCTGTGTGTCTCTTGCACATCTAAAAGGGAAGGGGTGGAGGCTCCAGGGAGGTAGGAGCAAGATGGGGCCTCTTTTTGAGAGCTTGGGCCACCACTGGAGCACATCAGGGTAGGTGGCCTCAGACAAGGTGAGGTCCTGTCCGTCTGTTTCCCGGTGTGGAATTGACAAAGTTGGAGTGGCACCTCTAAGAGCATGGCCGAGTTGGGTGTTCCAAGGGGTTGGATTAAACCCCTTGGCTGTAGGCGGGGAGCCTGACCAGGCCTTGGGCCCTTCTTCCCTCCCCACAGGCATCATTACGGTGATGACAGCCCTGTCGGTGGCCCCTTCCAAGGCCTGTGAATACACCAAGGAGGGCTGGGAATACCTGAAGGAGCGAATCAAGTAGCCTATCAGAGGAGGCTGCCTTCCCCAGTTGGAAATGGGCATGGTGCCCTGGACCTCAAGCCTCTGGAATGGGACCCTAATCTAAGGGCAGCTCGCGGCCTTGCCAGCCCAATAAAGGACTTTGGAAGTGTTTCCTGACCTGTGTGCTTGCCCCAAGAACATGGGGTGGCCCTGCTTTGAGTGTGTGTGCTTCTGGTTCCTGGGGGCTGCTCCCGGCCTGATCTTGGTACACATCTTTTCTGTCTGGTCCCTGACCACCAGGACCCTCACCCCACTTGGGAAGTGGGTATAGATAGGTGGCCCCAGTGCTCAGGGCACTGGGAAAGGGTTGAGAAAGTGCTGAAGGCCAAACTGGACTGAAGGGGCTGGGGTTAGCGGACTGAGCCCTGGGTAGGCACTCTGGGAGCCAGAGCTCAGTAGAATGGGAAGAATTCATCTCTCCTGTGCCATCTACACTCCCTATCTTGCCTGGTCTCCAGTCTGGTAAGCACAGGCCTGGAGGTCATTGCCCTCTCGACTTCATCTAATGGAGGTGCTCTGCTCCCTTCAGAAGCCTTCCCTGGCATTCCTACCCACACTGTCTAGTGATCTGAATGTGTCTGCTGGGAGGTTGGGCTGTCTAGATGTTCCCAGCCACCCCACGGTTGAGAGTATCCCCCTATTGTGGCACTAGGAAATCTGTGCCCCAGTCAGGGTAGGAGGTGGGCATAGACAGGAGCCAGAGGCTGATCCAGGAGCCTGCCCTGAGGGCAAGAAGACCCTGGCTATGGTTCTCTGAGCCAGCATGGAATTCTGTTCCCAAGAGTGCTGGGGTGTTTGTCCCTCAGTTTAGGGATAGAGCCCACCCAGGCCCTGATTCTGGAAGCAGCAGCAGGTATTACACATGAGGAAAGTAGAGGCCAGGCATTTCCCCAGAGAAGCAGTGCATCCGTTCACCTGATGACAGAGGTGTAGCTGACGATGGGTGGCCTGGCCTGCGGTGCTTGGGGATGCAAAACCCACAGTGACCTGTGCTACCATGGTCTCCATGGTGGGTCTCCCTGGTCCATTGTGGCACCTGGATGCTGTGCAGCTCCCTGTGCCGCCTCTGCACTTGCTGGGCCTCTACTGGGATGGGAGCAAGTCTAGGGTGAAGGCAGGATGGGTAAGGCCAGGGAGCATCCCTGAGAGGGAGCTGGTGCTGGCCAAAAAAAAGCCCTTCCCCCAGTCCCATCGGCCCATTTTACAGATGGAGACACTTGTGCAGCCAGATTAAAAGCCCAACCCTGTCCACCAGGAACCCAGATGGTTAACCTTAAACCCTTCCTGGGACACAGGATTTCCACATGCCTCACCCTCATGGGCCCAGGAGGGAGTTATACCCTGGCTGTGCCATATGCTCCACCAGGCTCCCTGAGTGCTCTCAATCCAGAGCCTCATTGATGGGCTGCCTCCTGCGTGCCCCCCACTGGGGATGGAACCTGCAACTTGGGCATGTGCCCTGAGAATCAAACGGTGACCTGGTTCTTAGGACATCCAGTCACTGAGCCATGCGAGCTGGGCTCAACCCACTTTTATCATCACTATTTTATGAAGAGGGGAGAGACCTGCTAAGGCCACCCCACTGCACTCGAGCAATTGTTAAAAGCCCATTGTCAGTCCAACAAAACCTGCAGAAAAGGAAACCAACCTTTGTAGGTGGGCAAGGGGCTGCCCTGGGGGCATGCTCGGCTCTCCTGGCACCCTCACCTCCAGGAGGCTGTCTTGCAGCTCCATGAACTTGGGTGTGTGTGTGTGTGTGTATTGGGGGATGGGAGGGTCCCCTGAAACTGAACCCAAGCCCTGGTCTCTACAATCTCTATGATTTTAGTCACTGCCCACATGCTGAGTCCAGGATCAGCTGCTGGCTCCTGACTCCCATTGGCTACTCACATCCTCCATGTGGATCCAGCGCCAGCCCAGAGACCAGAGTGCCACTCTTAATCCCCTCCATTGCCTCACCTAGTCAAACCCCCAATCCCTCTTTGTCCACTTGTATCATTACCAGTGCCAAGACCACCTCCCTGATCTCCCCACCTCTAGGCTGGCCCCACCAATCTTTCTCAAAGTCAAGTCTGATCATGGCACTACCCTGCTCAGAAATACAATATGGCTCCCCACTGCCCTCCTTGTGAGCCCAGATACCTCCCAAGGACCCTCTTCTTACTCCCCTAGTTGCCCACAACTCATGGGCCCCCTCAACCAGGCCACCACCTTTCCTCCTGGCTGACTCCCCTAACCTATTCCTTCTCCTCAGACTGAGTTGAGGGCCCACTCTGGGCTTCCTTGGCACCCTGTGGGTGCCCCATCACAGCGCCTACCATCTCAGGGCAGGGCTTCCTCACCTCAGCATCACTGATATTCAAGATCAGATGAGTCTTTGGGGGGCCATCCTGGGCACTAGATAATGAGCAGCATCTCTGTCTCCATTCCCAAACGCCAGTAGCACCCCTTATTTCCCAGTCATGACAACCACGTCTCCAGGTGCTGCCAAATGTCCTCTGGGGACATAATCACACTAGTTTGAGAACTGCCTTCGGGGTTGGTATGAATACCCTGTGACTGTCTCAGTTCTGGAGTCAGAGCCTAACCAGGGTCTCACTGGCCTAAAATCCAGGTGGTAGCAGGCCTGGCTTCTGGAGGCTCCAGAATCCATTTCCTGGCCTTTTCCAGCTTCTAGGGATGGGCAAACTTTTTGACTCGAGGGCCACAATGGGTTCTTAAACTGGACTGGAGGGCCGGAACAAAAGCTTGGATGGAGTGTTTGTGTGAACTAATATAAATTCAAAGTAAACATCATTACATAAAAGGGTACGGTCTTTTTTTTAATTTATTTTTTTTAGTTTTATTCATTTCAAACGGGCCGGATCCAGCCTGCGGACTGTAGTTTGCCCACGGCTGTTCTAGAGGCTGCTGCATTGCTTGGTCCTTGGGCCCTTTTTCCATCTTCACAGCCAGAAGTCTTCCTCTCTCTCTGTCTCCCCTGCTGCCCTATTTTTTTCCCTAAGGACCTGTATGATGATGTTGGACCTACTTGGATAACCCAGGGTCACCTGCCATCTCAAGTTCCTTAATTTTTTTAAAAATATATTTTATTGATTTTTTACAGAGAAGAAGGGAGAGGGATAGAGAGTTAGAAACATCGATGAGAGAGAAACATCGACCAGCTGCCTCCTGCACACCCCCTACTGGGGATGCGCACGCAACCCAGGTACATGCCCTTGACCGGAATCGAACCTGGGACCTTTCAGTCCGCAGGCCGACGCTCTATCCACTGAGCCAAACCAGTTAGGGCTCAAGTTCCTTAATTTTTAAAATCTGACCTGACAAGTCCCATTTGCCACCAGAGTTCACTTTGCCCGCCCCGTCCCTGTCCTGGTGGGACTGTGCTAAGATGGTGAGTTCTGCTAAACCCAAAGTGACGGAAAGACAGCCTCAAGGATCCCGTGTGTGCTGGGCTCAGGGTTTCCATGTCACCCATTGAGAACAACGTCCAGCTGATGCTGTTCCCAGAGCTGTATGCTGGGCAAAGGCTGAGCCCCTTTATGCTGTCCAACTTTAGGCCACATGGGCTGCAGCAGCCTGGTCTCTTCCCAGAGGTGGCTGAGGGCCAAACCAGCTTTTATTAAATCTGGAAGTACAAGATGAGACACCCACACAGACAAACCACTGTGTGTTTCTCTGCAAACAGTTTTGTGGTCAACAGGGACCTTGGGGACCAGAACTTGGGAGCTGCTCTGTGGCCTTCAGAGAATTAGGCTATTTATATCTGGGTGGAAGGGAGATGGGATGGGGGATGTCCCACACTGGTACCTCTTAAAGCAACCCAGTGGCTGCATTTTATAGTTAAGCAAATGGAGACTCAGAAATGAAGGAACTTGCTCCAAGGCAGGATGTAAAGGCAGGACTTGGTCCCTTTGTCACAGATAGGTGGTTGGTCTCGGGCAGAGGAACAGTGAGCCCATTGGTTGAGCAGAGGGGATATGACTCCTTGAAGCCGAGGGTGGGAGATAACTACCAAGCTGCAAATCCCTGGATTACAGACAGGAATGTTTGGTAGCTGAACACACCTGCCTCACACTGTCCAGACATAAGATCTCCTTCCTTCTCATGTCCTGACAACACCCCTTGCACACTCAGGCCCTGCCCCTCCCCCAGCAGAGTTCATCACTTCCTGGTATTAAACAGCTCCTCTTCCTTCAGCTCCCCACTTTGTTGTTAACTTGCCCTCACCCCAGTAGGATGTAGTTCCACTCATGTGAGGTCCCTAGAGGAGTTGGATCCATAGAGTCAAAGTAGATGATGGGTGCTGGGGGAGAGGGGAAGATAAGTTAGTTTACTGCATTCCTTTGGGGAAATAAGTTTTGAAGATGACTGGTGATGGTTTACACAGTATGAATTAAATGCCACCGAACAGTGCACATAACAATAGTTAAAATAGTAAATTTCATGTTACATATATTTTACCATACATACAGAAAGTAACAGCCTGTTCAGCAAGGACTACAGGATTGCTGGAAACCCCAACAGTCCCTGGAAGCTGCCCCTTTCAGCCCTCCTTCCCTAAAGGAAAAGCTGTGCTGAGTATAATTTCGTTTTAAAGAGAAATAAAGAGAGAGGATGCTTTAAATAAAGGATATGTGGACAGAAACACATTTATTACAAAAAAAAAACCCAAAAAACAAATTCACATTGTATCGAGCTACAATATGGCAGCAGTTAAAAAAAAAAAAGATATTGTACACAGTTTAAGATAACTCCTAAAAGAACATACTCTGGTTGCCATGTGACGGAACACAGGATTCCAAGCACTTAGTAGCGGCGAGTGAAGCGAGCGTCGTTGGGTCGGCTGCCCCGGCTCTGGCCAGCAAATCCACCTTGCATTCCACCACGCGGGATCACGTGACCCCGAGAGGCCCCAGCTGGGGTAAAGCTGCCACGCCTGGAACAAATGCAGATGCTCATATGTTCGGGGTCGGTTTAATGGGATGTATTGGGTGCCTGTGGGTCACATGCTCTTCGAAACCCTCTTCCCTCAAGCAGCAGCACCATGGGACAAACCCCGCACCATTTTAGGACACAGCACACTAGAGGAGGCAGTGTAATTGGGAAGACTTGAATGTTTCTAACACTTCCCCAAGGCAAGCCAACATATGAAGAGGAGACTAGTACAGAGAGACCAACAGAATGCCTTACCCTGACATCCTTCCCCGGTTCATTATGTGACCTCGCCCAGAGTGACCAGACATGCTTCTCTCACCACCTGGAAGACAAGAGACACTTTTCACAAGGTGCTTCCAAGCACAGAATATAGTTTAGAAGACAATGCAAGGATTCTGGTAAGTCCAGTCCCTTTCTTGAGCCACCCAAACAAATCTCACAGGTCTCCAGTGCATGTACAAGCACCTGAACACCACAGGGCTGTCCTCACTAAGTTAGGGCGGGGAGGAGTTACCAACACCCACATCACTCTTCTGTGCCAACCCTCACTTCCCATCCCACCCCACCCAGTCATTAAGGGGCTTCTCCTCTACCAAGCCCCGGGTAGGGAGAACAGAGAAAGCACTCCTGCTCTCAGTGGAGGTGGATTAGCAATGATTAGTGAAGAGCAGGTGTTGCTTAAGCTTTCTAGATGCTTCTCTTCCGACAGATGTGTCCCTGAGAGCCAGTTCTTACCTTGCCACCTCTTATGGTCCCTGTCTATCATGCCTCCATCAGTAGCGCCCTGCCATGCACGGTCATCCTCAATTCTTCGGCCATGGTCCCCCCAGTCACGTCTGTCCCTTGGAAAGAGACATCTCTGATTTGGATTGCCCACATCTCTGCCTCTCAGAACAGCAACAGAAGTGGGCTCTGGAGCTTGGGGTTAGCATTCTGTGTTCCCAGCCCCCCAGCCCTTCAGGCAGTGGGGACTGAGGGAAACAGGACTGGCTCTGGCCCCATGCTACTCAAAGAGCTCCAAGGTGGCCTGAGCCATGGTTGGTACACCGAGCCACAGAGCCAGTGCTCATCACATCCCCCAAGATGGTGGGTCCTCAGCCTGTCAGCTCTATGTGAGGCCCACAAGGGAACTGTGGAGTGTGAGACACAAACCTGGGTGGAGGAGGCAGTCCCCGGCCCTCGCTCATCCTCTTGTCAGAGCCATATCCACCCCACCTGTCACGGGAGTCCCGTCCATGGCGCTCTGGTCCTCCGTGGCGTTCAGGATAATGCTGAATGTTAAGGAGCCAAAATGAAAAGGCTTTAGTATTATCTCTGCATCCCAAGGCCTTTGGGGCAACAAGGTAATAAAGACAGCTACTCAGAAGCACTTGCACACCCGAGTCAATGTTGCCAGACACTCTGCACACTGCCTTATGCCACACATGCCATGCATCTCACAAGACACAGCTGCATCCCTGAAGTCAGCTCATGGCCTGGTGACGAACAGGTGCTCAAGAGTCAAGGAAAGGGCTGAGACTCGCCCTAATCAGAAGGCAGAGAGTTGAGGGACTGAGGGACGAAGGGTGCTGGGACCTAGCAACTGCTCCGTGCCAAGAATGGGCCCCTGTGCTAACAATATAATCAACAGCCCAGAGAACCACAGCGTGGAAGGGCCACGAGGGATCCTTTAACACAACTCATTACTGGGCCTGGCATCATGTCCCTGATTTGCCACCGGCTCTGCACCATCAAGCGCTGGGCTGGCGCAGCCCCAGTAGAGCCTGGCCCCATTTTTCGTGCTCCATGAAGGTGGGAGAGAGAAGCCCCTGTCTGCTAGAGGAACACCCATGGATGACTTTTAGGGACCAGGGGAGGTGGCTTTCCCTCCTTGATTTGCTGTTCCACAAACCCAACTGGTGACCTTGGGAGCTTTTGCTCCAGGATCGATTTGACAGGAGAGGGAACTAGAAGAGAGCCTTGGTCATGAAGCCCCTCAGATGCTTGCTCCAGCAGTCCAGTCACTGCCCACAGCCATGGTCACCTACCCCTTAAGCCGGGAGCCCTCCAAGGCCATGCGCTTACATGGAGCCCTAACTGCCACTTGGTCTCTTACCCCTAAATGTGCATGGACACCTCCACAAGAGAAGATAAGGGGGTTAATTTTACTACATGGACAAAATAGAGCATTGTCCCTTCAAGGGGCAAAATAAAAGACCAAAGTGTCCACCAAAGTGTGTGCTGTCAAATTGAAGAGCTGTTTAAAATGGACCCCTGAAATAACACTTCTACAAAATAAATTATACCTCATGATTTACAGAGCTTCATCTGATTGTGGACAAAGAACAAGGTTTAAGAAAGAATGATTTTTTACATGTAGCCTTCTATTTAAAGACACATAAGTGGACAGAGGAGCATTTAATACAGGGAAGCAGG